TATTTAGACACATTGTTGCCAATAAAACATGGTATTAACATAACTTGCCGATAACCTCGAGCTTGGACAAATACCGAAATATTTCTATTGGATTTACATACAAATGGTCGCTCATTCCAATCGCGGAATTACCTTCGAGTTATATTGTAAGAATCCACAAGAACAAGGTACTGCCTCACCTTAAACTAGATATCGATACAAAATAACTATTATTGCAATGGAATAGAACTGAATATTGAATGCTATGAATATACTTTTTTTATAGAGACAGGTATTGTTGATAAGGTCATGTCTATGATGTGTGGCTTCGTATCGCGTGATACAATCTTCGACACAGGAAACTGCTTGTTACATTTAAAAAAAGAAAGTGATTATTTTTGTAAATGTAGCAATTCTTTCCCGCCTTGTGTTCTTTTTGAAATTTTATCACCATTCATACAGAAACTCTTTTCTGGTTATAATTTTTTTTCCTATTATTTATTCTTATCGTACATAGGAAGTCGAGTTTTTATTACAAATCGTATCTTGTAGATAGGTGTAAATACTAGATATGCGTACATGATTCACTTTTGTCAAGAAAAAACCCAAGTACCGTATATAAAATCTCATTGCGATAAACTCATAAACCTATTCATAATCGGATATAATTGTAAACTTGAGATAGCACAATTTCATCAATGAGTCATTGTTGATTGTTTATGTAAGTGTATATATAAATGCGACACCACGTACAGTATTACAGGAAAACAGATAAGAAATTCCTTGCAGAAACTTGTTATGGACGCGGTACCTGAATCCATCTTAATCTAATCAATCCTACAACATTTTAGAGATAAAATAGTTTATCTAATCTACTTTGATGTTTAATTACATGGATTAATTGTTATTTTCGTGAAACCTCGTCTTATTTGCAAAAACTACGACGGAAATCTTGTTATCACACAAAAATCAATTAAAACGTGGACTAAATAAGTTACGTAGTACCTATATGTATTTTGTTTTCATGTAACAGTCTTCCACGTCGGTTTAAATAAAGCAGTGTATTACCATCAACGCTATTATAAGCCACAGATAAAAAATAACAAGTGGTATACACATGATAAAGCCGACAATCCCTTTGCCATTAAGTTATCATGGCGTTACCAAGCCCACAAATAATGTACCTGACATGATTAATGCATTTATGATAGAAAAGGTACACACAACGTTGTGTTCTATGTAATATACTAAGTACAAAACACACACACAAGTTTCATAGCACTAGAGACTGTCTTGAGTTGGCCAAGTTATCAAATGACTCTTTCTAACTAGAATCCTCGCTGTACCTTCTCCTGTTCGGAACTATGGACCCAGCTTGAATTACATTTTACACTTTCACCCGCAATCACGGCACTATGTTCTGAAATTAAGTTTAATGTCATCACAGCTTAAATAGATTTTTGATTATTATAAGTGGTCGATAAATACAATAGGCGCAACACAGCAAGGTTGGGAGTAACTAAATAAATAACACCAAAAAAATTAATAACAGTATTTTCTGTCAGACCTGCACTTAAAAACTAGGCTCGTAAAATCGCGAAGATTATGGCAGTCTTGTTATGCTGGAGAACCCAAAGACGAACCAAAGATAGGCGTCACAATGAGAAACAATATAAGGTGTAATTTGCAGAATGATTAAAATAAGTACATTAATAAATCTTACACTGAAAATATTCAACGAGTTAGTTACTTTAACATAGTCATTAAAACAGATCTAAAAACAGATAATTTATAAAAGGTATTGCACCAAATTCCTTAGCAAATAGTGCTCTGGCAAACCTTAATAGGTGAGTAGATTGGCACAATCTAGACGTACCGACATAAATGGAATACATTCTAATTCCAGCACCAAATGTAATTGGATTAAAATGATACAAGTTTAAGTAGATTGATTTAGTTGAATTCCAACACAAATAAATAATGTACCTAAATACAAAGATTGGCTACATTAAGTAGGCCTGGGTCGTCTGGATATGTACCCTCATAGTCTAACTATGATCTCCCATAAAAATATGCTAAACCTCCTCTGAAGACGTCCCTATGCCCTGTTACATACGGTTATAGATAAAAATATAGATGCAGCTAGTGATAAAAATAAGGAAGAATGTCAAAATATTAGAAAAAGTAAAAGAATCATTGATAAAAAAGACCTTTTATTATTTACTAGCTTTTGCCCGCGACTCCGTTCGCGTGGAATAGTGACTTTCTGAAGATTTTTTGTATAACAACGATCCTATGACCTTCGTCGAGTTCCAAACTATATCTGTACCAAATTTCACAGAAATCGGTTTAGTAGTTTAGGCGTGAAGAAAAGACAGATAGACAGACAGATAGACAGATAGGCAGACAGAGTTACTTTGGCAGATTAATGTACGCGCTCTTTTGTCTCTGTCTCTCTCTCTCTCTTTTAACTTATTTATGTGACAGAAACATTCTTGAGGGAGTTTATAAGCCAGAATTTACTGTTTGACATTTTAAACCTGCTGCAAAAGCAGTAGTAGTAAACTATAATGTTACATCAGAATATTTTAAATAAAATAGAGAAAGTGATTCAACACAAGTGTGTCGTAAAATGACATTTCAAATGTAACGGCTCTCTTCAGATGCATGTTTTATTTAATCTGTGACATAATATTGAAAAACTCTCGTGTCTATGATTTACTCAACTTAGTCACCTTTCTTTTCATAATATAATGATCATCTACAAACAATTTACTTCTAAGAATTATATGTTTAGATTTGGCTTAAGTATCTTTATCTGACGTTAAAAATGTTAAAAATGAGTCGAGAACCTTTACCTACCTATAGAAGATATTATCGTAGCTACCAAAGAAAGACCCTTATCATAAATTCCTTTTCTCTTCATGGAGTACGAACGAACGTGTTTATTTTTACATTTTTCTACGTATAAAGCCCTTCTGTGTACTCGGTCATACAGCTTTTTCTGTGCGTTATCTTCGTAGGCAGGAAAGAGCCGCGCCTTAGTCAGTAAATTAAAAAAAAACTCGTTCCTTGACATCTTACCATCTTATTTGCCAAGTGTTATCGAATACTTGTTAATGTTAAACATATCATTATAGTTTCTTTTTTAATAGTAAGTAGTTTTATTTGACAGAGAACACTTTTTTATTGGGTACCTAGTTTAAATACTGTTTATAAGTAATAAAATGTTTAGACTAAAAACTTCATTATTATCATTAACAGGTTATACTAACTTTTAAACTTTCGCGTTCGTCATGTTCGTCATGTTTACAACATATAATTACGCGGGTATTAACGCGAAAAATAATTATTTAAAACCGTCAAGCCTACCAAGGTAATTCAATAATTATTTTTCGCGTTAATATCCTCATGTTATTAACAGTTCAATTCAATAATAACCTGTAGCAAAGAATATAATTTGAAATACGTATTTGGAATTAGCAGCATGGAGTTTAAATATAAATCTGTTAAGTCCAAATACAGGCACGATTTTCCCGACTCACTTTAAAAATACAAACTCCCCATTATCTCTCATTATACATACACTGTTATGTACAACAAAAACAAATGGCTGCATTACTATATGGCAAAAGACACGTCACTGGGTCGGTACATCCGTATATAAACATACAACTGCGTACTACGGGCCTTGGAAACGTTAACATGACTCAGAACAAGTAAACCAATGAGGCGTAATTAGTGTCAATCATTCATAATCCATAACACACGAATATTTACAAACCCCCCAACATTAACAGAAATATAATATATATATATATGAATGCTAAAAATCCGTGCGAAAATTTTTTGAACCAGTTTTTGTTTCAGTATTGTCAAATATGGAAAGTTGTATCGTCATATAAGGACATAGTTTTAGGTCTAGCTGTCTTGCTCTGTGACGGAGGCAAACCTACGAAAGCCACTGTGGAGGAAAAGCTAGGCGAAGTGAAATATTATTACCTCAATAAAACCACTAATGACCAAATTGAAGTCATCATCTAAGAGAATGCCCAGTTCTCTAAATAAACTCTAGTGAGGACCAATTCTTTTCCTCGTCTTTTCTTTTCCTCTTACCACAGATAAACAAAAGCCAACATTGACTTAACCATAACTAAAATAAGTATGTCAAACAGAACTATTTCTCGGCAACAATAAACACAGTTAACTAACAAAAACTGCAGTACCTACCTACCTAATTCAGCTGGTTCCGCTAAAGATTAAAAATAATGACTTATAAACTGCAGCTGCATTTATGCAAGCATTACACACATAAAATTAATTATGATATGTAAAGAAAATGACATTTTTTCCCTTGATACGCCTGTTATAAGCATTTTTACAGAAAAACTCAATCCGTCTGTGATTGTAAAATGGGTAAAAAAATCCTGGCATTTTTATTGTCTATGCCTTTTTCCTTAGAATGAGAAATAAAAACTATGTTGTATCATTGGTTTCGCAATGTATTCAACACACAGATAACAATAAAAACGCAAATGAAATCATTGCATGTCCAATTAGAAAATTCTTCATCTTTTATTTCGTAAATATTTTTAGCATAGGTTCTAACAAAACCTTGGCTATGTAAAAACTTTGTTTCTTGATATTTAGAAACGTACGAGTATTTTGTTACAACAATAAAAATATATTTGTCAAGGAAAGAAACAAAGTATTGTCAAAGCTTCGTCGTCATGTGAATTTTATTTAAGTAACTTTAAAAATGATTTATTTTTGTATCAATTCTTTATATAAATTTTTAATCAAAGAAATTATGCTTAATTACAAAAGAACGCTTACAAAAATTTCACAAAATGTAAACTAATAAAATAGAACAGGAAAATGTAATGCTTTATGCCCATAATTTAATTGAGCTTACAATTTCCGCATCACTTTACGCGACCAATACTAATCTCGTAGCATTTTGCTAAGAAAATATAACAAAGCACAATGTACGTAACATAAAATATAAAATATGTACTTACACGATGAAATATTAGCAAAAATTCCTTTTTCCAATCCTATAAAATGTCACGTGGTCACTGAACAGATTATGCACAATTAAAAACTTTTTTTGTCAAACTTTCAAATTGGCGCAGTTTTTGAATATGGAATACAACGTTCGATGCGCAACGCACGCCACGGCTGCGCGCTCTCGACCGACTGCCGCCACTCGGCGACGAGAGAATGTATGGCGCAACGCAATACAGCGATTCTAGCTGCTGAATAATGCGTTGTTTAATTTTATTACTCCGGCTGAAAGCAAAAATATGGCAAAATTCACACTACGATGAGTTGTGAACTCGAAACATTTTCTATCTAACATCAACATCATTGTGCCAATAAATTCAGTGTTCGTCTCAAAAACAAATAACAGAGTTATAACTAACTTTTATTAATAACAACGAATGCAAAATATGGCGCGTACGTAAATACATTTTCTTTTTAATCAGCGCCTAACAAGATTATTTCAACTAATAAATAAGCGGTAAAGATATAAATCGTTCAATCAAGTTAATATACAGCTTGAAAGCGGCTGCGTTGTAAAAACGCACATGCGAGTACGGTGCGCATATCAAGTAAAACGTTACTCTTATTTCTGCACACAATCAAACCATAGCGAAATGGGTTTATTAACTTGACTACATGAATGTTGTAACTTTTTATGGGGACAGAGGAATTTTGGGGCCATTAAAATCAATTTATCGTAAATATAAAATCAGCCGTTGAACTTCTCAAAATATCTAACTTTATTGAGGACATTTTTGTTGGTATTTTTGATATAATAAAAGTTCAAACAATTTTTAACATTTCAAAAAGTTTTTATTTTAATTATGATCTCTGTTCTGTGGATCTACAGGTAGGAAGGTAGACCTAATGCCTATTATGTCTATAAGTATTCAGGTATTCAGATTCACGTGTTATTACACGTTAAGAAAATCAAATTCACAATATTATCAATAATCTATACAATCTGCATTGATATCAAAATTACTTAATTAATAAGAAAAATGCATATAATCTTATGTGGACAGATGATTAAGGAAAAATTAGGTGAGATAAACGAAATGCTAAATTTAATCTGTTTATAATAAGCTAAAGGTTTGTATTTAGGTTTTATCAGCCTTATTTCACTTTCAGTTGTAACCCGGTTATCAGTCTGATTCGTTATCTTGTTTTTATTGTTGACGAACACAACATGATAACAAGATTGATGAAGTTCTTTCCCTAAAATGAAAAGCATTTAAATACGATAGAAAAAAAACATCGAATAAATAAAGTTACGTCATTAAAATACAGACAAACTCTTTTCTGTGAAATGATTTTAAATTTCGAACGCAATCTTCAAACAATTGTCAACCTCAATTAAAACACTGAAGTTTTTAAAGGAACCCTTTAAGAGCCAACAGACCAATACAAACGAGGCCCAGTAGAGCCAATGTTCGGTCGGGGTTGCGGAGCAAGCGCAATAACGGGGAGGTTTTTAGTCAGTAAAAGTCTGACACTCCCTCCCTTTCGAATACCCTAGACGAGAGAAATCTTTATATTATTTATCTTAATAATTTAATAAAGAAAGTTAAAGTTATTTCTTTGTCTCTAAGCTAACTGGCGCCACAAAGAGATCACATTATGCAAATATTTACAGAATACGACCATAACGTCGCCAAACACTTCCGCCGACCTATCACGAATCGAACTATGTCGCAAACTACATATACAACTGTCAGGCGAACCCTTTGTACACAATAATGCACCATTGTGCCCACAATTGACCAATGTTGCAATACGAAAAAATATTTCTTCGTAATAACTGGGTTTGTTACTGTACACGAATTAAATGGCGTGCGTCGAAAACTATACTGTGTGTATATATATGTATGTGCGTGTGTGTGACGTAAAACAACGAAATATTTTATAGAAGTATCGTGACGAAATATCGACATAATTGACGAAAAAATATTTGAAAATTTTTACGTAAATTTCGTTTGGGATAGTGGAGCATGTTTATATTGCTTTTAATGTATCTACATTTTCGATTCGATTTAATCTAGGCGAGATTGTTTCATGGTTTATTAGTTAGCCTCTTAAAGGTCTAAGGCCGTTGGACCCGGATGCCGGGCCCCGGTGAGAAATGGCCTGTGCTCTCGTAACACGAAAACAGACTAAATACTTTGAGTTGATATATTACCGTATTAGAATTGGATTAAGTCCCTTTTCCATAAACCTCAAAATCGAAAAATCATCTCTTGACGTGAGAGTTCATTTGTAAATTTTTGAGAGGACACGTTTTGTATGAATCTTCTGACGTACCTAATAAGGTATTTTTTTGCTCAAATTGTTTTAAAGCTTTAAAGAATAGGACTTAGATACCTAAACGTCGACCAACATATACCAAAGAATCTAGTTTTTATGAGTAAGAGTGCATTTTAGAAACTTAGAAGTAGAAAAGGCCCTAGAAGTCCGTACCGTAATATACACTACAATTTATATGTACAGTCAGGGGTCAAAAATGGAATTACACTCTACCAATTTTAAAATGACTAAAATATCTTTGTACTAAAAGTTCAATGGTTCACAGCCAGTTTCTTCAATAATTTAGATTCTATGCTATAAATTAAAGCAGTCCTCAACCATTGACTCTATTCTACAAAGATATTTTGGTCATTTTAAAATTGGTAGAGTGCTATTTTGATACCTGACTGTACCTATGTCTAACGTATTTCTGAAAACTATTATTCATAATTTCATAAACAAAGGTCGTTCACACACACAGAACAGAAAATAAATACATTCCGTGTTCACACTTATACACAGATACATTCCACCACAAACTCATACACTGAATGCGATCACAAAACATCATGAATGGGGAACTTATGTAACTTTCTAATACTCAGTACTTTCACCATCGATACCCGATACACTGTCAATACAATAATGTCGCGGACGGATGAGAGGAAATTCACGTCACTTATATACTTAGACGCAAGCCGTTAACCTATACTAAGATTTATTAAGTGTGGGAGAGCCAAGCTTCGGCACGAATGGGTCGGCTCGACCGGAGTGAGACCGGAGGCCTCACAGAATACCGGCGCGAAACAACCCACAGCGTTGTGTTTCGCCGTGTGGTTACCGGAGGCCCAATCCCTCCCCTTCTCCTAATATTTATATCCGCAACCCCCATCCCCAAAAGGCCGGCAACGCACTCATAACTCCTCCGTTGTAGTGAGTGCTTACCATCAGGTAATGCGTATGCTCGTTTGCTAACCTATCACATAAATAAAATACTTATATTATAATTTATTTAATGTATTTGCTACTTTATTACAAAAGAGATAGAATTGAATATGTAATTTGAAGGTAAGGGTACGTTGACGCGCTGTCGTCTCTAGCTCTACATGTATGTAGGTAGTAGGTACAAAGTACATGTAGGCGTATATGTTATGGTTTAATGATTTTCTAAGAAAGTTCCAAGTTCATTAAACTTTGTATTAAAAAACTTTGAAAGTACTTAAGTCAACAAGATGACTAATAAAATTGATCTTAAATTGTCATCTCTTGTTAGATTTCACCATGATTTTCGCGTTTGGGTAACGAGTATGAATTTTGGTTTTATATTGATTTTCTTTTACAATTTTATAAGTAACTCGTACAGCATCTGAACTACCTGAAATTACAATGAGTAATAATAATTAAAAGGAACAAACTAGAGAGAATTGGTAAGTATAGCTTGTTTATTTTCTCTGCTGTGTTCTCTAAAAAATGGTAGGGCCCAATAGGTCTGGTTCATCAGGGGTTGGGCATCCAGAGCAATTATGTACTGCAGCCCCCAGGAGCAGGAAAAGGAACGGAGTAGTTTTTAATTTCTAAGAGTCGGACACTCCTAGGATTTTTACTTCGTGGACATTCCCTATTACCCAGGAAAGAAGAGATTTGATGATTTGCCCCCTTCAAAAAAAAAATGCCTTTTTTTCTTTTAGTCCTAATTCTAAAGCTCTTTTCACCGACTTTTCGACATTCATCAAAATGTTTATTTTTTAATTTGAAAATAACCTCGCTATAGAGTTGACAATCCTCTACCATAACTGTCACCTGACAGTCCATTACCAATTACCATGTCGACACGGTATATGTAGGTCAGCATGGTTCGTACTCATTTGTGCTCGTCACGGTACATCATGTAAACATCGCTTGATTGATGGAGAACGATGCTGGAGGGAACCTTGTTAACAACCAACCATAGATTGAATATTACAGAATTTGGAATAAATAATATGTTTTCTAGTTGAATAGTTTTCAAATATATCACATCACATCCATCCGAAACAACAATTTGTAGATCACACATCATGTTTCGTGCGGCAATCGGACCGGCGACACGTTGCGCGACAGCCAGAGCCCAGCCACAACACCAACCGTGCAGTTCACTGTCCGGGTATTAAATTTTTACTCAGCTATTAAGATGGGATTAGAATTTAAATCAACTAAGTAGGTACTGTATAATCTGCCTTAGTAGGAGGGTTCCGCACAGGGTCGTACACGCACTAAATGGACAGACTACCAACACGCTTACTCTCGCCAGTGGCTCTCGTATTTCCCGCGCTGTGCGAACGAGACTGTCCCTGTCTGTGTGACATGATCTGAATGAATGACAGAACGAATCAAAAATATGGTAGTTTCCAACTAGTCAAATTCAATACTTTTATCCAAACGTCAAAAACGATACTTTTCTATGTATGAAAAACTGAGTTGTGACGTCATAACATTTTTGCGTCAAATAGCTTACTGATCTCTTAATAATTAGCTAAAAAAATATCTAAAAGTTAGTGGGTATATTGATGGATTGATGAATAAAAGTATACTTAGTTATTTTTTAAGATTTTATTGTATTGAAACGTCGAATTAATTAATTTTTGACCTAGATAACTACCCAATTACGAATAAATGAATGGGTGAACAAATACATACACTACAGTTAAGTACTATGTTACTTCTAGTAGCCTAAATGCCACGCCACTGCCAAAAATAATCCTGATTAAGGAACCCAGGACAAAGCGATATACATACTAAGAAATAAGTACTATATATTCAGTAAAAACATAATAAAACAGGTTTATCTACTAAATAAATAACAATACGCAATTTATATAATCCAAATAAACAATTTACACCGGATTA